CGTGCCACCTTTGGCACACGTGCCATAGGTTGCCTACCCCTGATCTAGACCATCCCTGACAGGTGTTTGTCTAACCTGTTCTTAAAAAATCTCCAATGACAGGGATTCTACAGCATCCCTTGATAACTTATTCCAACATTAACTACCCTCATAGTTAGAAAGTTTTTCCTAACATCTAACCTAACTCTCCCTTGTTGCAGATTAAGCCCATTACTTTTTGTCCCACCTTCAGTGGACATGGAGAACAATTCATCACAGAGCTCTTTATAACAGCCCTTCATATATTTGAAGTCTGTTCTCATGTCCCCATGCAGTTGTAGCTGGCATCATTTCACCTTGAATGGTCCCTTGAAATACGTGTTAACTACTATGCTAAACCATCTGTTCTACTTTGTATTTAGCTGTGACACTCTGAGTATATTTCCCAGACCTGAAGAAGAGCTCAAGAATGTGTCTCTCACCAACAGAAGTTGGTCCGATAAAAGATATCACCTCACCTATCTTGTCTTTCTCATGTCCCCACTCAGTCTTCTTTTCTCAAGACTAAACAGGCAGTTTTTTAAACCTTTCCTCACAAGTCAGGATTTCTAAACCTTTTACCATTTCTGTTGCCCTCTTCTGGACTCTCTCCCATTTGTCCACATCTTTCTTAAAGTGTGGCACTCAGAACTGGACCTAATACTCCAGCTGAGGTTTCACCAGAGCTGAGGAGACAATTACAGTTGACACACTCCAGAAGGATATTAGCCTTTTTCACAACTTGATCACACTGTTGGCTCATACTCAATTTGTGATCCATTATAATCCCCAGATCCTTTTCTGCAGTACTCACCACCTAGCCCATTAGTCCCCATTTTGTAGCTGTACATTTGATTTTTTTCCTTCGTAAGTGCAGTACTTTCCACTTGTCTTTATTGAATTTCATCTTGTTGCTTTCAGACCAATTCCCCAATTTATTAAGGTCATTCTGTACTCTACTCTTGTCCTCCAAAGTACATGTAACCCTTCCCAGCTTGATGGCATCTGCAAATTTTAAAAGAATTTCTCTACTCCATTATCTAAGTCATTAATGAAAATGTTTAATAATATCAGACCCAGGACTGAACTATGCAGGACTCCAGTACATGCGTCCTCCCAGTTTGATTGTGAACCCTTGATAACTACTCAGAGTACAGTTTTTCAACCAGTTTTGCCCCTACTGTATAGTAATTTCATTTAGATCACATTTCCCTAGTTTGCTTATGAGAGTGTCATGTAGGACTGTGTCAAAAGCCTTACTAAAATCAAGATACATCACACATCTATTGCTTCCTCCCTATCCACTAGGCCTGTAACTCTGTCAAAGAAGGAAATAAGGTTGGTTTGGCATTATTTGTTCTTGACAACTCCACGCTGGCTATCCCTTATAACCCTATAATCCTCGAGGTGCATAACTGATTGTTTCATTATTTGTTCCAGAGAAGTTAGGCTGACTGGTCTGTAATTTCTCTTTGTTCCCCTTTTTAGAGATAGGTACTGTTTGCTCTTCTCCAGTCCTTTGGGACACCTCACCCATTCTCCAAATGTTCTCCAAGATCATTGCTAACGGTTCTGAGATTGCTCCAGCTAGTTTCTTATATACCTCGGGGTGAATTTCAATGGGCCCAGATGACTAGAACACATCTAATTTATTTAAATATTCTCTAATCCATTCTTTCCCTATTGTGGCTTGTGTTCCTTCCCCCATGTGGTTAATATTAATTGTGTTAAGTATCTGGTCAACAATTAACCTTTTCAGTGAAAACTGAAGCAAAATAGGCATTGAACAGCTCAGCCTTCCTGGTAGTGTCCATTATTAGCTCTCCTTCCTTGCTAAGTAGAGGACCTACACTTTCCTTCATCTTTCTCTTGCTCCGAAAGTATTTATAAAACCTCTTCTTATCGACTCCTATGTCCCTTGCTAGGTGTAACTCATTCTGTGGCTTAGCCTTTCTGATTTTATCCCTACCTCCAGGGTCAAATATTTCTTTGCATTTGTTAACATTGCAAATCATCTGCCCTCATGCTGCCCACACACCCAACTCGGTTAAGTCCCACTGAAGTTCCCTGCAGTCCGCTCTGGACTTGACTAACCTAGATAACTAACTATCCAGAGCCTGGATATAACTCCTGTCCTGCAGTGCCCCAATTCTCTTCAGTATCAAGCCACATCAGATACCAGAACACACACTCATTTACGTATTAGAGTGCTAAATACATATACAGCCCTACGCTAGCAACCTGTCTGAGACAGAGACATAGCCAATCCTTCAGCACATACCCTTAGACATACAATCCCTTTACTAGATGCACAGCTAAGTAGAAAATCTCTGCCTGCTTTACTGGGGTACAACTCCTTCCTCTCTACCTGTGCTCACATTTCAGGCCCACCTGCACTACAAAGCAGCACATCAAAACCAAGTGGTAATTGGGTATCCTGGCATGGTAGTACATGAAGTGTAGATGAGCCTTTAGTAATGCAGCCTGGGGTCTACACACAGGGCTCTAGGGCCACACTGGGCTGTGAACTCACCGAGAAAGATGTTCTTCCCTCAGGGCCTGGATCACGATGCGAGTGATATTTATAGACATGACACAGAAAGGGAAATTCTGGAAAAGAAACAGAATGAAATCAGCAATCCCACCCCTGTTCTCCCGGATAAGGCCCCTCTTCCCTCCAGCACCTGGACAATGCCCATCCTTAGGTCTCTGTTCTAGTTAGAGATGGGTCCAGGTCTAAACCCTGGATATTGTAAATTCTTTGGGGCAGGGGCAATCTTTTTGTTCGGTTTGTACGGCATCTACTACAGTGAGACCCTGATCCATGACTGGGGCTCCTTCGCACTCTGTATCCATATTTATTGATATCACCAGACTCGAGTCAGAGTTTGCAGCTCAAACCTCTCTTTCCATTGGGCCAAACCCAATCAGCCCTGACCCTCAGTTTGGCTCCAGTTATTGAACCCACATTTTAATCTGAGGGTTTGGTTCCACCCTTCCCATTATGAAGCTATAAAGTGTGGATTTGGATTAATAGATTCCTAGGCCAGAAGGGACCATTGTGGTCTTCTAGTCCAACCTCCTGTATAACGTAGGCCATTGAATTCCTCCCAAATAATTCCTAGAGCAGATCTTTTAGGAAAATATTCAATCCTGATTTAAAAATTGCACTGATGGAGAATCCACCATGGCCCTTGGTAAATTGTTCCAATGGTTAATTATCCTCCCTGTTAAAAATTAGCACCTTATTTCCAGTCTGAATTTGTCTAGCTTCAACTTCCAGCCATTGGAAGGGGTTTGGTTCTGGCATATGATTTGGGCCTGTCTTTGATTTAAACATCTTCTCCCTCACCAAAACAGAATAAGCAATGATGGGTGTAAAACAAGTGAATAAAATTAACACGCACCATGGGGAACATTTTATAAGTGAGAATTGTTTGACTAATGAGAGTAAAGTTTGGCTAAAGGGAGGCTGTGAAATTGGCAACGTCAGATTTATTCAAGGTGCAAAGTAGCCAACGTCTTCAGGGCTGTGGAAAGACAGCACCATAGATCAGAAACGGAATGAAGCAGAGAATCTGGGACGTGAAAGAGTTTTCCTAACAGCCAATCAAAAAGCAGGATTCCACGCTTACCTTTCCCTGAAGTTTAATAATAATAAATAAATACCAATCCAGAGTCAGAGTTAAAGAGGGAAGGACATGCCTGTGATTCATGCTGGGACAGCTTGAAAACGTCTCGAGCGAGGGGTAATGTCCGAGAGTCCATTACAAAATACAGAATTTGCATTAACCCGAGCAATCCAGTCCCACGCAGGTCTGTCCCAGGATCCAGACCTTTAATATAAAAACATACAGCCAGGTAAGCCGTGCATGTTCCTGTCCTGAATCACTCAGTATATGCTCTCCCTGTCTTATTACGTGCCTGCTTTGGAGCACGATATACATTCTGACAAACCTTTCCATTGCCAGTCCTTATGGTTGCTGAGAAAACCTCAAAAATATCAACTAGGTATTAAATGATGCAGTGATACCTGCCTGAATTTGCAGTCAGCCTGCGACAATGGCTCTAAGTGGTGTGAACTGCCCCATTCATCTTGTGGAATTGGCATTTTCCCCCAATCAGCCACTGAATTCTGCATTTCCACCATGGAATTCACCATTTTGCTGCAACTGGGCATCCGATATATTGTCTCCCTTGTCTGCCAGGACCTGCCTGCAGCTGCTCTTGCTCTCTAGTTTTCACATCCAGGAGAAGTTAACTGGATGCCAGGGCAGGCTCCCCACACTGCTCCATGGAGCCAGGCAGTAGAGGGGTCACAACCTCCCTCCCCTTTCTTACCTTTTCCTCTCTCCTCTGTGGATCCACCATTTGCAGACCAACTTTCCCCTCTGGTGGGCTCAGGCCCAAGCACGCACCAGAATGCTTTTTAGCCACTTGACGCTTCAGAAGAGTTGCCACACCAGCTAGCAAAGGATTCTGGGACATGCCTATGACCATTAAAAGGAGGGAGTAGCGAGCCATTTGGAGACCAAATGGGGAAAAAAAGGGGTTGGTGCTTTGTTTGATTTGTGTTTTTATGATGACTAATGAGGTGATTGCATTTTGTTGTTTGGTAGGCAGGTTGCTACGGGTTTGTAAGTTTGTTTTTTAATGCTTATTTTTTAGATTATAGAATTCAGCTCTTCTCCATCCTATCGAACCTGGAAGACTCTGGATAACTGGAGATCATTTTTACAAAAGAACCCACTGAATTCTTCAAGCAAAAGCTCATGAGTTTACAAATTCAGAGGACTGTTTTAGTAAACTGCAGAACGTTTGCATGCCTGAATAAAACGTTTGGAACCTTAACTCAGCATCCACGACAACTAAAGTCAGATTAATGTGGGTACAATAAGAGTTGCATGTTACTTTATGGTGGTGAAATGTAGGTACTGACAAAGTGTCTGGTGCAAAAGCTGCAAACATTGGAGATGACGTGCTTGGGCCATAACCTAGGCATGGCAAGGATGGGTAGACTACGATATAATTACATCTGTAGAAGCCTGAAAAAGTGACTACAATCATCAAAAGGTCCCAACTCCAACGATTGGGCCATCTTGCTAGAATGACCCTGTCCCAGCTGCCTAAAATTGTTCTCTATGGAAGACTGCATGGAGAGAGAGTCGTGGACATCCAAGAAGATAGTTGTGCCCCAAAAGGCTCAAAACAGACACGGGCGAAGGCAGCTCATAACATCGGCCTACCCAACCCGGGCGCTGGGAAAAAGGAGACGATGATGGTCACGTAGCACTCCAAACATGACACAGAATGGACTGGTGCTGGAGGTGAATTTCCAGCTTGGGTAGACATGTGCACGCTAGTGCTGATCGAGCTCGCACACTAAAAATAGCAGCATAACCATAACGGCGCAGGCAATGAGACAGGCTAGCCACCCTGAGTACAATCCTGTCTGAGATCCTAGGTATGTACGTGAGCAGCTAGCCCATCTCACTGCCCGCACTGCCACTAAACTGTCATTTGTAGCATGTTAGCACGATCAACGCTCGCATGCACATGTCTACCCCCTCAGGAAATTCCACCTCAAGCTGCCGTGCCAATGACCCCTGTGTGTCACTGTGACTAGTGAAAGCTGCCAACCCTCACAGACGGAGGGAAAACACTGACTGTACTGTCTCTCAGCTGTCGTTGACATTAAGGTAGGATCTGCTGCTGACAGTCAAGTCGAAGTAACTCCATCAACCAACAAACATGCGACATGGGAGGACAAGGTTTCAAGAAGTTTGAGGAAAACTTTCTCCTGGGAACTATGATTAGCATATGCAAATGGGCAGATATAACTATAGAAGAAGCAGAAGCATCGATCCCTGTTTCTCGTCATCTATGCTCTACCTCTCTCCTATCCACCGCTTTCCATCCTCCTTCCCAGCCACAGAAAAGGACCATCTGTCGTGGTCTTCCCTGCCTGTCACCCACTACCTATTTTGGTTCAGCCAACCCTCCTTACGCTACCACCATGCTAGAGATGCAATGTTGCTTAGTCCCATCCTGTCCCATTCTCCCCCCATTCGTTCACCCACTTTCAGGTAATGGAAAATAGAGAACAGAAGCAGTACTGCCTAGTGGATAGAGTACTGGACAAACTCAGGAGACGTGGGTTCTAGTCTCAATTCTGCAAGGGGCCTGCAAGGTGACCATGGGCAAGTCACTGAACCGCTCTCTGCCTCAGTTTCCCCATCTGTAAAATGAGGCTAAAGATGACCTTTGTAAAGCGCCTGGAGATCTCTAGATGAAAAACACTATACGAGAGCATGCTATTATTATTGTTGTTATGTAACCGAGGACCCACAGACTGCAAGGAGTTTAAGTATAAAAACAAAAGCATTTTTTATTGCAAGAACACAAGACACAAGCTCATTTAGGGCACGCTGTATCTGCTACAACCTGTGCCAAACAGCAGCATCTACACAGTACAAGGTAGCAAAGGAATTCGTGGCATCTTTTCCTTAAAACAAAAACCCCATGGCAGTTTCCCTGGTGTCACTTTATAGCACAAACTAGCAAGCAAATGTGTTTACAATATTGAATAGGCATCTATGGCTCTGAAAAACAACAGAATAAGTTGTCTCCATTCTCTCCGTAAACACATTTCAACCCCCATCCCCAAAAGCAGAGCACAGGGACCAGAGGATGGATACCTCCCAAAGAATCTGAAAATTAAAAAAAACAAAAAACAAAAACAAAACAAAACACCACCACCACCACCACCAAGGAACATCCAAGAGCGTTTTAGGCTCGTAGCATGAAAAAGACTCCATGTGTGCCAGTAAAGCAGACAAGACTAAAGAAAATTAACTGGCCACTCAAACCAATATCAGGGAGTTAATCTCTGAATACAAGACAGTCAGAATTAATTTGCGCCCAGCAAGTACAACCAATGGAATTGCTACACGCAAATTAGCTACAGAGGAAATGTGAGCATTGGTGGGTTAGTTCTGATGTCACTTAACAGTTGCCCAAGTCGTTCCCTTGGGACACATCTACATCACAAACTTTGGCCAATGCAAGTTATGCTGGCATAAAGCTGCTGCAGTTACTATACTGCTTGTGTCAGCGATGTGCGCGCTCACCAGGAGTGCTTGTGTGGGTGCACCTTCCAGCGCACTGTCTTTTGGAAAATTTTGGTAATTTATGGTGGGGTGGAAACAAGTCACACAGGGGTGGCCAGGAGCAAAGGGTCAGCTTCCCAGCATGCAACATTCTTCATCCCAGAATGTCATCCATATCCCATCATTTTCATGCCTTTTTTAAAAATCCCATGAACCCACGTGGCTCTCCTCACTGTCTGCCATCTCTGACAGAAGCATGGAGCCTGCACAGCTCTGCATTATTGTCGTGAGAGTTGCACGCATAGGGTACACGATCCTCTGGTATTTGCAGAGGCGCAAGAACTGAATCAGCAGGGAACATGATGCTTTCATGGACGACAGATAGCTGTGGGACAGAACGAAAGCCAGTTCAAGATGGTTACTTTCGTTCACAGAGAGGCTGTAGATGGTGGAGCGCCGTTTCTGGGCTCAAAAAACGGGCACGGATTGGTGGGATCGCATCATAATGCAGGTTTTTTGATAGAATGAGTAAAGACTGCAGAACTTTTGGCTGCAAAAGGCCATACTCCTGGATCTGTGTGCCGAGCTCACCCCAGCCCTCCAGCACAGCGACACTAGACTGAGAGCTGCACTGACAGCAGAGAAGTAAGTGGCAATAACACCATGGAAACTTGCAATGCCGGATTTCCACAGGTCAGCGGGAAAATCATTCTGCAGTTGGAAAATCCACAGAGGTCATGCAACCGTGCAGGGCCATTAACTGTCTCCTGCTATGCAGGACTGTGACTCTCAGCAACGTGCAGGACGTAGTGGATGGATTTGTGGCAACTGAGTTCCTGAACTGCCGTGCAGCAAAAGCTGGCAGCATATCCCTATTTTGGCACCAGCCCACCCTGCCACAGGGTATATGAACAGAAACGGCTATTTTTCTATGGTTATGCAAGCGCTGGTTGATCACTGGAAACACTTCACTGACATCCATGTTGGCTGGTCAGGGAAGGTGCATCTTTAAGAACACAGAACTATTCAGAAAGCTGGAAGCAAGGACTTTCTTTCATGACCAGCGGATTACCACAGGCAATGTTGAAATGCCCATAGTGATCCTGGAGGATGCAGCCTACCCCTTGCTCGTGAAGCCATACACTGGCCACCTTGGCAGCACCAAGGATAAGATTCGACTGCCAGCTCAGCTGGTGTAGAATGACAGCTGAATGTAAGTTGAAAGGACACTGGCATTGTTTACACACCTGATTGGATCTCTGTGAGAAAAACATCCCAGTGGTTATAGGTGCCTGCTGTGTCCTGCATACTATCTGTGAGGCAAAGGAAGAAAAGATGCTGCCAGGGTGGAAGGTGGATGTGGAGCAGCTGTCTGTTGAATTTGAACAGCCAGACACAAGGGCTATTAGAAGTGCTCAATGTGGAGCTATACAGCTGAAGAAGGCCTTGAAAAACCCTTTGCCAGTAAGCCACAATAATGCATTGTGATGGACTGTGCTCTACCTGGCCCTGCAGTTTTGGGGCCTGTTAGGTGTACATCCATGACTAGAACACTGTTGAGGCACCTATTAATTTTGCGGTGCTTGCTGTACATTTACAATTATTACACTGTGTTTGTCACTGATCCTATGAGTTGTGTCACACCGTACAAAGTAAATGGGTGCTTTCAGTACTGCTAGGCATTCTGCAGCGCATGTTGGGAATTAATAAAGATGAATTATTATCCCAAAAATATAATTTTATTGAGTAACAAAACCAGTGCAAAAAAAATCTGTGCAATTTAAAAGCACGTACATTAAAACCTTAATAAATTAACAGAACAGAGCTTAACAAGGAGAAAGAACATTCCTGTCCATTTGGGCTACACATACAGCAACTGTGGCTCTCACAGGCCAGTGTATGTGAAGCTGTGGTTGTCCTTACTGTCCGTTGGTCTAAAGTGGTAAGGGTAGGGATGGGACCCCTGAGGCCCAGTGGAATGTTGAGGGGGGGGAGGGGACGTAGGGACGTGCTAAAATGGAATTTCTCCAAGGGCTGCATAGGGAGGTGAGCCCATTATTGTTGAACCTGTAGGTCCTCAAGAGTCTGCAACATTATATCCTGGTGCATCTCCCTCTCCTTTGCCTGCTGAGACTCCTGGACCTCTCTCCTGTCCACTCTTTCCCTCTCCTTACAGTCTGCAATATTCACCCTCCACGCCCTCTGCTCACAATCTGATGCAGCACTGGCTTGCAAGATCTCGCTGAACATATCATCCCAAGTCCTCGTCTTTCTTCTCATGTGCTTCAGGCGTCCTGCAGGTGTGGAGGGGGAACCCCTCAAGGCCACGGCAGCGGCTATAGATAAAGCACACAGAGGTACTGTTGTTAGCATAGTCACAACAGAAAGCAAAAGTTCAGGTTCAGAACTCCTTTCCCTGGCTCCCCTACAGTTTTAAACCCGACCTGCTTATTGACACTTCTGCTTCGGAGTGCTTGTGTTAAGCACCATTCACAGCACCCGCTATGGTTACTATGGCCTGCAAGGGGCGAGGGAATTGCTCAGTGGCATGAAACTAGGACTACAGGGCACTGGTGCTGAATACTGGCAGCACTTTCCACGGGTGGTGGTGATTGTAACTGATCTCTCACTCCTGAGGATAACAAAGGCACAGAAAACACAGCTGCTGCTGGTGTCCCAAAGCCGTCTGAGCCCATACGCCACTAGCTTGTTTACTGCCATGGTGCCTGCTGAAGTTATCACCGATCGGCATGGGAAAGCATCCAATGGCAGAGGAAAAAAGGCTGTCATCCTAGAAACCTTTGGGAGAGGATTGCAGATACCTCCATGGAAATTTCATCAAGATCTCTCAGGAAGATTCAACAGCCATCCCTGTGTACATGAAACAAACTGCTATGCATGGCACCCACTGCCTAACTCCACAGGGGACTGAAGAGCCAATATTGACCTCTCTTGGTTGTTCTGCTACCTCTTCTGGTATGAATAAATGAACAAAAAGTTGATAGCAATGTCCTGCTAAGTTGGGAGCACTATCGGTACATCATTGTAACGTGAAATACATTTACACACTTACCCAAGGTTCCTTCCCCGGCATTGGGTCGCCCGTGCACACTGGACTGTGGGGGTGTCTCAAGGTCCTGGATTGTGGCACTGACTGTGGGGGTGTCTCAAACAGGTCCTGGATTGTGGCATAGCTGGACCCTGCTGGTTGCATGTCTCCCATTCGCCTCCTCTTCTGTGCTGTTCATGGCAGGGGTCTGTGTCTCGGGCTCCTCAGCGGAACCTAGAGTGGTCTGTGAGGTGGTGGTGGGGTCTCCACCAAGTATGGCATGCAGCTCTTTGTAAAAGCAGCAGGTCTGTGGCTCAGCACTAGATTGACTGTTGGACTCTCCACCCTTCTGGTATGCCTGCCTCAGTTCCTTCGCTTTCATACGGCACTACTGCTGATCCCTGTCGTACCCCTTCTCCTGCATCCCCCATGCAATCTGCTCGTAGATCTCCCCATTTCTACGGCTGGTCTGTAGCCGTGCCCATACAGCCTCTACTCTCCACAGTCCCAGGAGATCCAGTATCTCCTGTCTGCTCCAGGCCAGTGTGTGTCTGGAGCGTGTAGCCAGCATGAGTGGCTGGGCAGTTGCACACAACAATGGAGAGCTGCTAGGTGTGGTCGTCACAATGGACATTCATAGAATATCAGGGTTGGAGGAGGTCATCTAGTCCAACCCCCTGCTCAAAGCAGGGCCAATCCCCAGACAGATTTTTACCCCAGTTCCTTAAATGGAACCTCAAGGATTGAACTCACAACCCCGGGTTTAGCAGGCCAATGCTCAAACCCCTGAGCTATCCCTCCCCCCAGGAAAAGGCATTTCAATTAAGGTGCTGGGGAAGCTGGCCCTCTGGTCTCTATGACCCCTGGCAGTTGAGTTCACAATTGTGACCAGAGCAGTGAGGGTCAAGAATTGTTGGACAGCTGCTAGAGGGCTGTTACGTTTGACATAGGTAATGCCGTGTCTACACTCGCACTACATCGACCTCAGTTAATTGACCAGGGCTCAACACAGCTCAGAGAGATGGTGTTACAATGGGGCGCTCGCCTCAGTGGGAACCAAATTTAAGGGTAGACACATGCACAACTAGGTCAGTGCAAGGTGGCTTACATCACCCTAACTTTGTAGCATAGACCAGCCCTTTGTCTGGCCATATTCTATATCATCATAGCAATTAGATACAACAATCATTAACAATTTTCCTTATTGCAACTTAATTTCTTCAAATGCAGGCTAGGCACAAGAGTTTGATTAACTTTAACTACATGGAGAGCTTGAAGAGTCAGTGTTATTCTGTTGTTAAACCCATTCCAGACAAAGAAAAGACTGACACATGCTAAATTTCTTAAAGAAGCCAGTTTTTAATAAAAGTGCAACTCTCATTAATGGATTTATTTGTAACATCTTAGAAAATCGTTCTGTAGCTGAAGAGAAGTGCTGTGTTTTTTTAATACACAAAACAGAGGTAGAATCCTTGCTTTATATGCAAACTGAAATGCAGCCTTAGCTATGGAGTTGCAACCAGTGCCTCCTGACTAAATCAAACCCTCGGAAAGAGCTTATTATTCAGAGATCACCAACAAACAAACAGCAGTGGCCAACCAGGAACACATGGTGAACCAGCGATGCCAGTGGCATCTCACTGGGCCATTACTAGCTATGCCAGTGGTGGCACCAGAAACTGGTATATCAGCATCTGACTGTCCAGCTGGCTGAGACAGCGACAGATGCCAGATCAGCAGCTGCAATGAAAAGCATACAGTGTAGAGCAGCTGCAGGGGGATGGAGGTAACAAACCCAGAATCCTTTAAGTCAGTGTTGGGTCACTTCAGCCACAAGGCCGGAGTGATAGCTGGGGACCCCACCCTCAAAGTTCTGTACTGCAGAGCCCACCCTCTCCTCACTGCCTCACCATACCTTGAAAGCCCAGCTCTTCCCAGTGGGCTCCATAACGGGGACAATCGAATCTGGAGCCTGTTAGTTTCTTGTAGATGGTCTGCAGGATCCTCATGTGCACTTTCTCATTATTATCCAAGCCACCTGTACGGAAAACACTGATCATCTCTCTGTGACACTGAACATCCCTCTTCTCTAATGCACCAACGTGGAGACATGGCAAAAAAAACCCAAACCAAAAACCCTGCAGGTTAAATGGATTCACAGAAGAACTAGACATTTATGTGGATAGCAGGAACATCCAGTTAGGAAAAAACCCAAGGAGTTCTGAAAGGGATGGAAACCTCCAAGTTTTAGAGCACAAGCCAATCCTCATACTGCACAGCGTTAGAAAGAGTCTTTCCCTGTAGGTAGGTTAACAGCCTGGTGCAGGGGTCCTTTGCACCTTCCGATGACACAGCTGATGCTGGACATTGAAAAAGAGAGACTGCACAATGGAGCTCCCCCTTAAGGGTAAAGAGCCTCTGTGCAGGAAACAGAACTTTCTCAGGGGCCAGCCCCAGAATTCTGCAAGAAACTAGGGACCATCCCAATCCTCCCTACCGTCCGCTCCCAGGACGAGGTCCTTTCTTTGGCTATGCCCTCTCTAACATGAATACAGAGCAACGTGTGTATTTAAACTAAACAAAAAAAAAACAACCAAAACAAGCCACTTCACTATGCACAATTCTTCCCCCCTGGAAGAGGATGAGAGAACAAATACCATGGGACAGATCAGTCAAGTTGCTTAATGCACTGCTGGAAGGTGCGCAGATACTACGGTGGGGAGCACAGTACAAGAACTAGAATAGAATAGAATAGAATAGAATAGAGGTTTGACCCAGTGAGACAGTGCTTATGTTTCTGTGACAACAGTTCATTTAACTTGATCAAAGTTTGGATCATTTATTTCCCTCTATCTATGGTACTTATCTGGCCCTCACAGACGTAGTATCTGAAATCGTTATGATCTTTAATAGATCCATCCTCACAACAGCCCTATGAGGTAGGGCAGTGCTATTATCCCTATTGTACAATGGGGAACTGAGCACAGAGAGGTGAAGTGACTCGCCTGAGGCCACACACGAAGTCTGTGGCGGAGAAGGGAAGTCCTAGGCTAGCACTTTAAACACTGGACCATCCTTTCTCTTAGCACACACCAGCTAGACATATAAAGATCACAACATCTGACTTCCCTGATTCTTTTATGAGGAGAAGAGATTTCTAAACCTGCCAAGCCCCTTCAGAGACCACCCCAAATCTTCATGCAAACAATGATCTTGGGGATCCTAGTGGGGATTTGGTACTTGATAAGCCTGACATCTCCCAGCAGGAAGCAGGTGTTTCCAGGGGTCATATTCAAACCCTATTCAATAAAGAGACCCCAATACAAACACTGCCTCTTTTTGCAGAAAGAATTTGTGACCCAGTGACTCAGAATGTCTGGTTTGATGGAGAGGGAGGATGCTAGTGAGGTGTGTAGGGAACAGGGAGAGAGGGCACATGATGGCTCCTGAAAGTCCTCAGTCCAAGGTATGCAGGCAGGAGTGCAGGGGAAGGCACTGCGCTCCAGGACACCAGCTGAGGGGAGGGGTGGATCACACTTCAATCATTGAATATATAATCAAAAACAATCACCCGAGGGAGGCTGATTAAATGGGCTGGGCAGAGCTCATCCTCCTCGTTAGACGGGAATACTCACACTGGGCTATCGCCAGGGCCAGATCCCGCTCGCCTTGCAGCTGCTGATGGAGCCGCGGGGGGCCGAAGAAGAAGTGAGCCACAGCAGACAGCCCTCGCCTTTGCACTGTCGGCTGGATCTTTTTCTAAGAAAAAGATGATACATAAAGAGAGGTGTCGGGGTATGTGGTGCAGTCTCCCTTGGAATCATCTGGGAGAAAACATGGCAGCAAATCTTGTTTCGCAAGGGAATTTGTTAATTAATTGGGTAGTGACACCAAGAGTTGAGGTTGCCTAACACTTTCCATTACAAGACCCTGTTTTCAGTTGCCTATGATTTTGCCAAACTTTAACCTCTCGAGATTAAATTTCCCATGCCTGGTCTTGACTTCAGACTGAACATTTTTGGAAAGTTACAGCAAAAACATTTCAGCTGCTTCTGAAAACAAAGTTAGAAGAAAAATAGAGTGGTCAGTCAACGTTAAAAAAAATCGTACAACTGTTTCTTTAAGAAGCTCTAGCATCTCTATGCTTCACGGGAAGGACTTGAAATTTGGCAGCATGGAAGACGTGGGGTCAGAGAGGTGCCTTTTGTCATCTCTATGAAAATTCACCAAGATTTAGGTGCATTACACACCTTTGTAAATCCCCATTTGCACGTGCTCAGAAGAGGTTTGTAAGACTGTCGCCGCTACACTCTGTTGCACTGAGCATGCTCTAGTCCAGAAGTGAAGGGGCTGGACACCAATCTTCCTGGAATTGCTCCTCCCAGCTTACAGGCACTGGGACACCAACCACCAGAAGTGAGTGAAAGACGACTCCCTCCTGTGCTACCAGTGCTCTCCCTCTTAGCGCCCAAGCTACACAGAGGAGGAAGCAATCGGACTCGAATGCAGGGTGGTAAGGAGCAGAAATCGTGGCGGGCATAAGCTGGGAAGGATCGGACCAGAGAGGGACAGACTGGAAGCGGATAGGGGGGTGACTGGGATTGGGCAGAAGACAGCATAATAGGAAACGGGCAAAATGGGGGAGGCTGCCTCTGGCCAGGAAACCCTGAGTTCTAATCTCAGCCCAGCCCACCCTCACTGTGTGGCCTTGCACAAGCCACTTCACCTCCCTGCGCCTCAGTAAAATACTCACTGCAGGGAAGCGTCCCAGGGACTAATGAGTTCCTGTCTGCACAGTGCTACGAACACGCATAACGCTACATCGTTTAATCCCAGTGGTTCGTACATACCCTGCACTCTGACAGGTCAGCTGTCTGGAAATACTGCAGTGCTTCATTGAAGGCAATCAGGGGCACGTGACCTGCAGACGTCCCCACGATCCCTGCAAATATGAAAGAAAACAGCCCTGCCTGGGATTCACGACAAGTCTCGTTACACTGAAAGAGTCACAGCCTGCTCCACAAAAAGCCCTGCACTCTGACCAGCTTCCCTCCCCCATCAGTGATGCTAAACTTTGCCTACTGGCCTTACAGAGATGCTGTGCTCGTGGCAGGCCAGGCCCCTCACTTTCCCACAAAATCTCTCTTTTGTGTTAAGATCTTCTCCAGTCAATATTTTTTTCCACCTGCGTCCAAACTTAGACCTGCATGCATAACATTAGACACACAGCTTGTAGGATGCGCTGGTCACCCCACTCAACTTGCCCACACCACTTTGGACAAGAGATGGACACGGTCACAATTTCAGATTCTCTTTGCCAGGGCCCCTCCCCTGTTGGTTCATAAGAAGAATGAGTGGGGAGAGTGGGAGCATGCTCAGAGCATCTGTGATATCCGTGGGACTTTGGTCCGTGGTGACAGCCTGGAGTTTGGAAGATCACCGAGACAATGCTATTGGGAAACATTACACAGAAGGTGATCACATTTCGGAGGGGTGTGTTTCAGATGTTGGGCATGTCACCAAAACAGCCCCTCTCTCCTTGAGGAAAGTTTCGGCTACATGGAGGCACCTGTGCAGAGTCTGCATCAGCCACACCGATTTGGTTCAAGATCTACAGGCCCAATTCTCTGCTATGCCCAGC